AGAGGAAGTAACTGAAAATACAGAACCATCACTGGGAGGTCCCCTCACCACGTACAGGAATCCACGTCGTGGGGATTATGAAAGTAACTACAATGTAAAAATTGGAAAGTTACTAGGTTAGCTTAGGTAATCTAATGAAACAATAATTATATTAGTTCTACATGAGGTATTCTCACAAGCAGCTTATGCATTACATAATTCAATATAGTAACTTGAGCTACATTTTCACTGAGTGATTTACAGCTTGTGTGGTGGGATTATTAGACATGGATCAAAAAGCAATAAAAAATAAAATTTATGTATCAATAAACGTATACTTTTACTAGCTTTAAGCTATGTAGAATAAATAAATGTAGCTTCCTGTTACAATTTGAAGTCATTCTAGAAAGAATAAAAAGGGTAATTTAGATTTATATCATATTTTTATGGTTGTTGCAAGGTTGTTCAAATTGACTGAATGCATACAGAGTTAGGGTAAAGAAAAGAAAATATAGTTTTACTGAAACAAAAATCACACATAATTGATTAATAATTTCATAAACATGTCTGTTCTAGACAACATCAAGGAAATAAATGGAGTGATTTTGAGTGTAAATGCTAAAGGGGAGTTACTGTGAAAGGAGGTTATCTCTCTCTCTCCTATTGGTGGAATGCTATTGGAGCATGATGATGTTATCATACACTAATGCAGTTCATTTTAAATGTGATTTTTAGGTGGAAGTTAGCTCAAGATTAGTGGCTTGCAAATTTCATAAGCAGACATACAAGGAATTAAGCTATTCTGTATTCTAATGACCTATGGGTTGAAAATGTACATGTACATCTATAAAATAAATACATCATACAGTGCAGTTTAAATTCTCAAAAAGGCTTTATGAGAACCAAAGTTGTCTTTCAAGGCAAGCTTTTTAGGCCTTGTTAGATAAACCTGCAGTCTCAGTGCCATTTGTCCTGCTTTTACACACAAAAAAATATGTGTGGAGGGCTCTTTTATGAGCTCTTAAAATATAGAATCAAACAAACATGTAGATGAGTCACTTCAGCAGAAAAATCTACTTGTGTACATTTAGTTCAGTGAAAATTTAATCTATGCATATATTAAGCTGGTGCTGTAATAAATTTGGTAATTTGGCATCTTTATAAAATAATTTGTAGCCAAATGCTTACAACTTTTTCATTTTGAATTCAAATTCAGAGGTGTTTAAAAATAGCATTTCAGATCTGAAACATATTTTACATGCCTCCAATTTGAGATCCAAAATGAAAAATTAAGAGAAATGTGGAAACAGAACATCTGCAGTTTACAATATTTTTAACACAAATTTTAAGCCTAATGGTTTCTAATGCTTTGCCAGCTTTTGGCATTTAAATCATGATTTATTCTTTTGTTTGCAACATAAAACAATAATTTACATATAAAACACATACCATTCAGTTATTTTTTGTTTTCTATGTTCAAGGAAGTTTGTAGTTTGGCTAATGTAATGAAAAAAATATTTTTGTCAAACTACTGTTTTTAGTAACTAATCTCTTTGACAATTATTTATTCAAACTTTAGATTTTGCCAGACAAGATAAGCAACACTACCAATTCAAGTATACTGAACTTGAAATCATATTATGTTTTGTTTTCTTATTTCCGCATGGATAAACACCACCATTAGGGTCTTAAAATGTTCAGCAATACAGAGTATGAGAAAAAGATTGACATCCTTTTACTCTTAACAGGTTGTACACAACTGTTTGGCTACTTGCAAGGCTGAAAATAGGATGATAAAAATGCAAGCTATCACATTCCACTTGACATACCTTGATTTTGAGTACGATCTGGATCTTGAGTGTGAATGTGGTGTACGACTTCGTGACATTGATTTTTTCCGTACCCTTTGCTTTGATGAGCCATGTGAGGATGCACTCTTCTCTCTTGAATTGTGAGAGACATTTTCTTGTTGATCATCACTACCCTGAAAATGTTGACATATTACAGTAAGTGACTGAGCTTCAATGTTTATCTTAGTAGCTACCATGAGTAATATATAACTCCTTAAATACCAAAACTGAAGTGTGTGTGTGTGCATATAAATCAAACCAATTAAAAAAATAATTTCACAAGAAAGTACCAAATTTATTGATTACTCTATTATTCAACACTTATTGACAGCATGTCACTGTTTTGCCTTTTGAAAAAAGAATGATGTTTTTTTATCTTACCAGTAAATAAACAAAAAAAATGCTTAAAAGCACTTGGGGGGGGGGTAACTTTTTTTTTACACTGCATAATATCCTTAAGATGGTGTATATATATTATATATCAGGCCTCCCAGCAGATTCTAAGCACAAAAAATAGGGCTAAAATTAGTTCAAAAATAAAGAGGACTAATACAAGGCAATTGTCTAAGAGGGGAAGACAGATAAAGGGCATATGGTTTAGAAAAATTAATAAAATAAGAAAAACTTACCTGTATACAGATCTTATTATAAATGCTAATGTGGATATCTTGCTCTGTTATTTTTCCACATGCCAAGTCTTATTTTTTTACTCTCAGTGGTACAGTGGAAGAGTAGTGGCAGAAGGTTGAGACATATATTACAGTACTTCTCATTTTTGGAGCATTGTTACTACATTTGTTCTATTTTTGGATGTTGTGTATGGATTTTTCTGTTTTTTCTTTTTGCATGTTGCCTTTCCAACATGCAAAGTAATTTTCATTGTAAGATTAAAAATACTTTTATACACCAGAAAATTTTCAAATTTCACCAGTGAAATCTTTATAATGTCCAAATAGTTATCAAATGTTTCTTCAGAAAAAAATCTTTATATTTTATCTGTTATGTTCACTAACAAATCTCTGTACGGGTTCAGTAGATTTGACAGATCTTGAAACACCATAACAAATTGTGGAAATAAATATAAATTATGCCTCTTTTGTTCTAGAATGACAACAGATTATAACACAAAAACATAAATGTTTATACTAACTAGCTTAAATCTCATAACATTATACATTTATATATATATTTATTATTTTTTATTATATTGACCTTTCAGCCTTGCCTGGCTAACAATACGGAAGTTACAATGATGCAGCTCAAATAACAAATATTTGTTATTATCAAATAACATAAACTGACCTTTGGTCTGTACAAAGTAACTTGTCTTGGCTGTGTTTTAGTAGACTAGTATTTTGTAAAATACAGTCACATTTCAATTATTATACATTATATATCTATATAGATTATTGCTATTTTCAAATAAGTTCTTAAAGTTATTTTCTTAAGACATAGAACAGTAAATAAAAAAGTAAAGCAAACAATTATCTCTTCTAGTTACGACCTTTGTACTCTGTTGCTGCTTGGCGTAGGTTGCTAAGCCTTTTAAATTTTTGTACTTGGAAGATATGTAACAAATTAATTTTTTTTAGGTTTTATATATATACAGTTGAATAATTATAAAAATCATAAATTACTATATCAATACCATAGAATTCCACTATAATTTATCGAGCTTAGTAA